GAGGAACCCAAGCTCTAGGTGCGAACCCGTGAGCTGGGTTCCTCGCGAACCCAGACTCCTGGGTTCGCCTGAGGTAAAAGGAGAAAAAGAAAAAAAAAAGAAAAGGCCGGAGGAAGGAGAGGATGGGGAGGAAAGAAGAGGGTAAATTAGTTATTAAAGGAAAAAATTTTTAAATGTCATCAATTTTTGAGGGGTAAATCAGTAATTAAAAGTAAAAAATTTAACCATGTCATCAATTTTTGCCACGTGGATTTTCCACGTAATTTAATAAAAAAACAAAATGAGTTTTTCCATTAATTAACTTGCCACATCAACCAAAATTTAACGGAAGGACTAAAAAGGGCCGGATTTGTGAACAGTAAGGACCAAAAAAGGGATTTTTTCAGTACAGGGACCAAAAAAGGGTTTTTTCCTATAGTAGAGGGACCAAAAAGGGTATTTAACCATTAAGATGAGATGGCTAATTCGAAGGCATGGTTTTTTTTGGCCATCTATTCTTAAGGATTGCATCAATTATGCGAAGGGCTGCAGAGCTTATCAGCTGCATGGTCCTTTGCAGCGAGCGCCAGCTTCTGAGTTACATCCTATTGTCAAGCCATGGCCTTTTCGTGGCTTGGCAATTGATTTGATTGGGAAAATCTATCCACCTTCTTCTAAAGGTCATTCTTTCATAATAGTTGCTACAGACTACTTTACTAAGTGGGTGGAGGCAAGGCCTATGAAGAAGGTTGAGCAAGGAGATGTCATCAAGTTCATAAAAGAAGATCCGATCCACAGGTTTGGTCTTCCAAAAACTATCACTTTTGATTAAGGTACTGCTTTTGTTGGATCTCAAGTAGAGGCCTTTGCAAAAGGCATGGGATTTCATTTACTTAATTCAACTCCGCATTATGCACAAGCAAATGGTCAAGCAAAGGCATCTAATAAGATTATCATCAACATCCTGGAGAAAATGGTTGATGATAATCCCAGGAGATGGCATGAGCTTCTTTCAGATACTCTCTAGGCATACAGAACCTCACAACGGAGTTCAACTAAGGTGACCCCATTCTCGCTTACTTATGGTCATGATGCTGTCTTGCCTATGGAATTAACGGCAAGGTCTCTGCGGATTGCAATTCAAAATGGCTTGAATTATGGGGAATACAATGAGGCCATGATCATGGAGTTGGAAGACCTTGAGGAAGCAAGGCTGACAGCATTGGATGTGATGAAGGCCCAGAAGCTTAAAGTGGCACGAGCTTACAACAAAAGGGTCAAGCAAAAGAATTTAGCCGAAGGAAGGTTGGTTTGGAAGGCTGTGCTGCCGCTTGGCAAGAAGGATCCTAGATATGGTAAGTGGTCCCCTAATTGGGAATGACCATTCCAAATTCATAAAGTTCTTAAAAGGGGTGCTTATTAGTTAAAGTCTTTGAATGGGGAGTTGCATCCGCGCAAGATCAATGGCATCTACTTGAAACCATATTATCCGACTGTGTGGGAGGCACAAGATAGTTCTGCCTCCACTTCTGCATGATCCAGGTTTGCAGACATTTGTATATTATTTGATTCAAGTTAGTTTTCTTTCAATAAGGACACGTAGAGTTTTGGCTTGAACCATGAAAACATACATAAGACTTGGTGCTGCCAAGGAGGCATGGCATGTTCTTACATTTGTGTTTTAGAGCGGCTTTGTTTGCAAAGCCGTGGGTAGCATGAATAAAGCAAGCAAATAAATTCATGTTCATCATTAGAAGAAGAAAAATAAAAAGAAGTCTGGAAACAAATGTTCAAGCGGCTGAATGACCGTAACAAGGATCAATGATGTTCAAAAAAAAAAAAAAACCTAGCAAAGGTTCTGCATCCAGGTGACCCACTCATCTCTCATTTGCTACAGTGTGTTGTTGGCTTCTTTTGCCTTCTCTTCCTATTGTGCAGCCTCACTCTTTGCAGCCAAAGCTTCACGTCCTTCTTCCTTGAGCTCAACTAGTAATTTGCTTCTTTCGGCTTTAAGGGATTTGAGGCTTCTTCCTTGCTGTAATTCTCGAGCAGGAAATTGGCTGGCCATGGCTGCAATGGCTTGACAAAGACAATGCAAAAACTAGAAAAACAGAAAGAGAGAAACGACCGCAAATCTATGATGATGATCGTGTTTTATAATGAGTTAAAGTCGGCAAGGTTTCTGAGTCCTAAGCTGTGAAGAATTGCAATTGTATCGCAGAAGTTGTAGTCGGCCATGTTTTTGATTCCAAAATGAAGAAGAAATGTAAACAGCAAATGGGGACAAAGGCACAAAGAAGTTGAGCACTGTTATTAAAGTCCTAAATTTTTGACACCTACTCCCGTAAAGCCAAAAATTGGGAGGCAATGTTTACACCTAATTTTACAACAAATGGAGTGCTGCCACGTGTCACACATGATGGCAGATATTTTATTAGTTGAAAGTTGGTGTGAATTTCTTCAGATGAGATTGAGTGGTTATTTCCACAACGGCAGCAAAACCGTTCTTTTGTTTGTTGCGAGCTTCGCAGCACCAACAAATTAATCAATTTGTTGCAGATATTATGCTGTCGTTGGTCTTTCAGGATGCTGCCGCAGATCTCCACCATGCTGCCAAGGTGCTATAAATACCTAATGATAAGATCAAGTAAATGATCAACATCTCACACAACAAACTCAGCACAATTTCTCTTTATACTCAGATTCATCTTAGTTTCAAGCCCTTTAATTTAATTTCAGCTCTACGCTTCAACTTTGATTAGTTTAGCAATTCGGTTCTTCTTTTGTCGAATTTGTAATGGTGAGTTTCGCTGCCTTCAGTGATATTTCTTTATAATCGAATTGCTTCCTTTCCTTTTATTTGTTTTCCAGATTTCCTTTAATTTAATCAAATGATGTCGACATTTAATTTTATATTCAGTTCCATTTCCGTTAATTTACATTTCATGCTGCCAGTAGATTTTTCATGCTTCGAGTTTTATTTACTTTAACTTAATTTACTTTTGCTGCAATTAAATTTCCTTTTAAAACTCTGTTTCAATTCAGTTTGCGTATTTAAAGTTCATTTAGATTTTTAGTAGTTTTGCGATCATTTATTTACCTTGCAGTCTTAACTTTTCTTGATTACATTAGCTTTGAGGAGTCCTTGGAATCATATCCAGGGCATTTTGTCTATAACCCATTTAGTGCAGGAAGTTCATCCCTCGTTTCTGCCAATCGTCTGATCTTTAAGGTGCAATTAACGACGTTCTTCCATCAACTCACAAGCTGAGTTCCACGCTTGGAAAGAAGAGAGGGTCGTCGGAAAAATCTTTCTTGTCTTGAGCAAAGCAAGTGGCACGCCATTTCATCTGCCACGTGTCAAAGAGATTTTTTGGGATAACACATACAGTCTCGGTTCATTATTATTTCTCTCAATTTTCTACATTATTTGTCCTTTCAAAAAGAAAAAAACGCTACATCTTTTAGTCATTTTCAGCACCGGAGGCATGTATCACATGCCACCTGCAAAATGCTACGAAAAACGAGTTTTTGATTAATTAGAAAGTACTACATGCAGTGGTGAGGCCATAATGGAAATAAAGATGGATCCACAATGGCTATCTTTATCTCCATTTCCATCAGCATGACATCATTTATTCGTGGACTTGGTTTTTTCGGAGATGTCAACCACCAAGCCTAGGCAACTCTGAATCACACCCAGCCGGGGGTTTGCCAGACCCTGGTTGGGTCCGTCGACACAGATACTGTGTATTGTTTTGTATATAAGTCCGAACAATTGTCCAGGTAAAGAGTTTCACTCATTGTACATCTACCAAGCAGTGTTTGGGATTAAAGGTGGTGAATATGAGTACTTACATGTTTCAGAAAACCACCTTGTCCAACTTGATCTTAAATATCTGATATCCTGATCCTGCCAAACATATATGTAGTGCAAAGAGTACGTACCCACAATAATATGATACAAGTACAACCGAATGGTTTATAAACGAGAGGGACAATGAAAAAGATACTAGTCAGTTTAAAAGAACAAATACGGAGATTACCTGACAGAAATGAGAAATGTATATGATCCTGACCTGCGCAGAACAGTAAAGGTACCATATGGTCATGTACCAAACAGAAAGTGGGGTTAGACTATAATCAAGTTGCTTTTTTATAATCAACACCATAATTAAGTTGTGCAACCGACCAGAATAAAAATATGTAATTTTCTAATCACATACACGTGAGCAATCGATCAAAAGCTATTGGAACCGAAGTTTATTTTACCTGCTTAGTGCGCAATCATAGCAAATTAGTAACTACCCACATTTCAGTTTTCTGTGATACCTATCCATTACAAAGGTCATATGTGCCTTATCTCCTTATCTCCCATGATCTTGATAGAGTGGGGGGCACAATGGGATATTAATAATGGTATCCTGATGCAAATTCAAAAGGCAAGGGAAGGCCTAATAAAAGATGCTCATAAAATACACAAAGGTGTCTTTGTCTGATTTCAACATGAGGCTATGGAAAAACATACTATTTTTTTTTTCACACACGAATTGAAGGTTATTATTATTAGGTTAAATGTTAATTTTAGTTTTTTAATTTTAAAATTTTGTATAATTTTCATCTCTAAATTATTTTATATATATTTTTTAACCCTCAACTTTAAAAAATAAATTTTTTTATCTTTTCATTAGTTAATTCATTAAATTTATTCATATAAACACATTTTTAATCTTTTTAGTCTCTAAACTTATAAATTTAAAGACTAAAAATATACATATATTATATGTTTAGATATTAAAAATGTATATATATTAACAAACTTAACGAACTAATTGATAGAAAATCTAAAAAAATGCTTTTTTTTTTTAAGAAGTTAAAGTTAAAAGACCAAAAAAATAAATTAAATAATTAAGAAATCAAAACTATACAAAACCTTGAAGTTGATAAACTAAAATTGACAGTTAACTTTATTATTGTTATTATTGGGAAGTGCTTTTAACAATGCAAGTACTACCAAGTTGGGAAGAATAGAAAATGTGAAAAAGTTGTACAGAAACTTGTAGAAACTAGAGTTGGCTTAATTACCGTCGTTACAGTGGTCCCCTAAACGGTAACGTGAAGGACTTGAAAGTGCAAACTACCAGTTGAAAGGTCATCTTCCCTGAAGCTATGTTTGTTCGGCACGGTTTCCCATCTTTTTTCTGAGGATCTACTGTCATCGTCATAAAATGCACAGCTACCTTGTCAATTTCGTGTCTCTGTGTGTTTCCATGTCTTTGCATATAGAATCATTTCAAAGACCATTTTATGGAGAACAAGCTAGCTTATTAAGTCACACCAACTTTAAGATAATAACATCATTCATGGAGACAGAAACATATGGCAAGTACAAATAAGGCAAAAGATAATAATTAGTTATGCACCCCTACGTTACGATACAGACCACAAACATAGAAAAGCAAGTCTGATTATCCATGAATCATGAATTTTTGATTTACTTCTTGCCTGAAAAGCCTTTTGTTTACGTACCTCTATTATGTTGGGACATCAAACCGGCTTCGCCCCATGTTTGAACTAGCAAGAACTAGTTCTTGAAGGACAGGATATTAATTTTGCAAAGGCAAGAAACATCAAAGGAATGACATAGCTCTAAATCAACCCATCTTTTCTCTGGTTAGAAAAACAAGAATGTTAATCAATCATACAGTAGATATGTATTGAGATGCCCTACAATCCTAGCTTAACTTGGAGGGGATGTGGGAGAGATGTATATTCAAAATTAGAGCATGAGAGTACAGAAGATTATTATTTAATCATATCTAAAGTGATCCTCAATAAAGATATTTAAGAGAAAGGGCCCTTGCAAATAAAACAAAGAAGTAAATATCATAGGCGGTTCTACAGTTTCAAGAGCAAGACCAGTGTAATTATCATACAGAACAATTGTGAGCACATATTGGTTAATAGACAAAATCCTGTGTTGCCAAATTAATATTGAGAATCAAAATGAGATATTCAAGCAGTGAGGCAGTGCATCAGATTTAAGATTTCATAAACGTGAAGCTGGGATATATATAAACATAAAACTGTTGCAAGGGATATTGACTTAAAGAAGACGAGTAAAATGGTTGTGAAAGGACAAACTAGAAGGTCTCATACCAGCATATATAATTGAAGTGATCCAAATTCTGATGCAATCTTAAGAATGAAACAAGTTTTACGAATTTGAAGATGATTCCAAACTGGTAACATAAAGCAACAGTCAAAGAACGACTAACAACAGATTTATCAGTGAACTAAAGAGCATAGATAAAACAACTTAGAACCACTGGTGATGCCGTTAAGTTCACAGAAAATAGTGAGGAAATACAAAATGTGCCGACACTTACGACCCTGCCTAAATGGCAGAAATGGAATGTATTCTCCCAGTTTCTTCCCCTTAGAAAAGAATCGCACTCTGTAAATCTGATAGTTGATAAAGAAACACTTTGAATCAAATTCCATCACAATAATTAAACGTTCCAGGACAGAACAGCAAAATTCGTACCTGAAATTTACCAACGTCGATTACCCGCAATACTTCGCCGCCGGTTTGAGTGCCGAACGAATGAGCTTTACTCCTTTGTGGTTCATAAAAGCCACCACGTGGACGAGAACCATGGCATCCAAGGACTTGGCGATTGCATCATGTTTGATGGGGAATTTCTAAGTCTTGAATCCTCGATCTTGGTCGTAGATAAGGCTGCTGTGGGCCTGGGCCTTGACCTTGAGAGGATTGGGCCATTGGGATAAAGAATCAAAGATATCGGATTCAAAAAATGGGTGCGTAGGATGCACGCGTGTTGTTGGGCTCGGCCGTGAGCTGTGGTCCATACGTTGCGAATTCTGAAACGCGAGCGGCAGGCCCCAAGGAGAACGGGTACGGGAACCTTAGGAGGGGAAGTAGGAGGTGGGGGGCACATTTCCAAAATTATGGAACTATCTAAAATTTTTATTTGAATTTTGGATTTTGGTTTAGATATTTTAGATATTTAAATAAATTTAGATAAAATTAAAATTGTTGAATTTTTTTTTTTAATGGATTACAATTTAAAAAAGAAAAATTCGAATCAAATCCTAAGATTGAAGTGTATCTTACGATAAAATATATAATTAATAGATTACAAAACCCAAATACAATTGAAGTTAATTTTAGTTTGGATATAATTATTGATTTATATTCAAAATTATTGATATAAACTATTAAATTATTGAGGTTAGATAAACCCTTACTATTTTTTCTTTTTTTAAACTCTTTTCTATCCTCACGATTCTCTACCGCATTTCTTGTTTTTTCTTTGCCAATCCTTCTTTTTAGTTCGAATTGGTGCACATCGGCATAGCACCAATAGCACACCAGAATCCATTTTCGTGAGTAGCCAGACAGATCGCTTCTTCTTCCGTCCTCTTTCTTTCCTCTTAGTTTTTCTCCATTCCCCTTTCTTTCTCCTCCCCCTTCCTTCCTCCATTTTTATCTGATCTGAAGACATCCAGATCAATTGCAAGAGTTCAGCAACTTAGTCATCGACGACTTTGAGGGAATTCTCAGATTTCACTTCTTGATCAAATCAACCATTCACTCCAGTTTTATAATAAGATTTGTTTTTGCTGATCAAAAAAAAAAAAAAAAAACCATTCACTCCAGTTTTGTGGTTTGACTTGTTGCCTTGTTGGGTTGCATGAAAACAATGAAAAATGTTAATGATAATTAAATATGATTTTGTCATAGTTATGTGCAGTTAATCAATAATTGATTTAAATTTTTTTTTATGAAAGTAATTGATGATAAGTAATGGTTCTTACCCTACTACACAAAGGATTTTACTCTGAATTTATATTTACTAATTTATTTATTTATTAATTTTGGAAAGAATTGAACAACTTTTAATAAATTTTTCACTAGTTTATTTTTTATTTTGTGAAGGATTGAGCAATTTTTAATAAATTCTTCACTAGTTCTTGAAGAAAAAAAGGGTTTTATTTTAACTGTTAATAACATGATTGAGAGATTGATAGAGACTGATAGAGATTCAAACTCTCTCTTATAGATTACTTCGAGCATGGCTTTAATGATCCATGCACAAAGGAGACTCCAACTTCTCTAGACGAGTGCATCTCCTCTTTGGTATGTCATTTAATGAGTGGGGGCAAATAATTATTTGCCATACTCCTGCACTCCCTAAGAAACTAACATAATAGTTAAAAATGTCTAATAATTCAAGATGTTCATATTGATTCTTTTTATCTGGTACTAGCTTTGTTTATACCCCTACCACTATTGCTATTAACAGATGATTATCTATAATTAATTGTCTATATTTGTCATAAGCATAGTTTTCATTTGTATCTAATGTTGTAAGATATGTTTATGCTTTAGCTATAAGTGCCATAATATCAGGATTTTTATATAATCTTAATTTTTTTTTTTAATACAATTTTTATTTCTTATAAAAATTAAGGTAATTTAATATTTCTACCCATTGGGAGTTAATTTGGGGACAATTTGATGATATATATGTGTATTAAAAAAATAATTGATACATACTTTGATCAACATATTTACCAATACTAATAATTTTTTAAGAAATATATTATAAAGTATGTTGAGTTTTTACATGTACAAATCATATTCCTTATATATATATTACATAGCCTTGAGGAAGTAAACTCGAATTGGCCTCAAAATGCAAGTCTTGGTGAGAAAGTATTCATTGCAACTGTTGCAGCACGTCACAATTCTTGCGTGGTACACCTAACCAGGGTGAAGCAGCAAATTTTTAAACATATCGATCGATAGATAACTTGTGACATGGTAAGTTCTCCATGTAATATGGCACTAAAATTTTTTGACAGATTTCTACCATAAAACCCGGAACTTGTGACTTGTCAGATTCCCATTAATTGGGGATCCGGTTCACATGGTATCCTTAATGGGCTTGAGCTTAACCTGTTAGAAGCCATCCAACTTTGTATTTTTAAGATTATTAGCCTTTTGATCATGCATTTTGTTAATTTTAACTCATAAACTTTATGTTATAGTTATAATTAACTTAAAATAAATAGAAACTGACGCCATAAATCATATGATCATCACTACTCTATTATCTTAATATTTTACTGGCATAAATATGATTTATTTGAACCCATAAAAAATCCCACTCAAAATGAGACCTATGTGTGCTTTGAGATAGATTTTTCAACCACCATTGCATAAAATTTGGTTGTCAAAAACTTCCATGGTTCCTGCTTCCCTTCCAACCGGTTTTATCGTGTCTGTGAGTTACTCCTCTTATTAGTTTATTCATTTACTGTTGGTGTTTTAGATGATTATTTATATCCAAGTTTATGTTTTGTTAGAATGGGAATCATGGGTCATTGTTAATTTCTTTCCATGCATGTATTCATCATTAAGTAGTTGCAGAAGCTGTTTTAGTAAATTGTCAAAAGTTGTTATCTTTCTTAAATTTCTGCTCCTTATCCTTCTCATTCTGCTATCAGATCTCACTTGTTCCTGCTTTAGATAATAAATTTTCGAACAGCTCTCCCCTCAGCCCAATTACAGAAGATTTAGCCAACAAGGAAGTGGGAAACTACTTTGCTTTGGCTCCAGTAAGCGGGCAAGAGCTCCTTTATCCTGTTTTTCAATATATTTTGTAACTTTTCTATCTGATGCTATGGCCAAAGTTGCATGTTAGTTTCATGGATTTTATTGTGGACAATAATTCTATTCTTGAAAATTAGATGAACAAGAAAAATTGCACAAAAGAATATTTGTATTAATATAAATTTTGTGAGTACAAACCTCTAAGTAAACAAGGAATTTCAAGTAATCCTTTGATTTAATCTCCTAATTGATGTTGATTTCGACGATGGCTCAAATGAAGTTCGATCTCAACGAGAGAAAAGTTCAGAAAGATTTAAAGGCTTCCATGCGATTTAAGAGGCAATTGCTGCAAAGTGTTTGTGCTTCTCTTTAGAGTTGTGTCTCCTCTCGCTTCATAGTGAATGCCTTTATTTATAGGCAAATGAAGAAAACATCCTTGCAGGAATATTTCAATATATTTTAATTTTAATAAGACACATGTCATCATTTTATTTAACCTTGTGTCTAATTTATTTTATCTTAATAGAACCCAATATCCTATAATTTTGCCATGATATCTTGCTTGTATTTTTTTTTTTTTGAAAGGCAAAAAATTTATTTATTTAAAGTACAAAAGATGCTTTAATCCATATACATTGCTTAAACTTGCCACATATTATTAACGTGGCCTATTTCATTACCGACTTTAAGAGAAATGAATGTTTTTGCTTTTCTTAATCAACATAAACCCTCCAATTATCCCTTTCTCATCCTACCAGCTAGCAATGGTTTACCGCAATCACCTGGTTTGGTACACCAATATGTGAAAGAGGCTTTTAACCCTTAACCTCTTCCATTAATCTAGTGAAAAGCACTTGCTTGAAGTAGCTCAAAACTACAATCCACACTTGCCACAGTTCCTTTAAAAACTTGCTCGTTTCTGCTTTGCCAAATAGTCCATAACATCACAAACCAAATGATTTCCCAATATCTTCTCAGTTTTCTGCCCTTTCCACTCTAGACATGTTTCACAAAGGCTTTATTTAAGTTGCAATGTAACACATACTCTAAGTTAATCCACAATAAACATTTTGCCCATAGAGATTGGGCAAACTTGCAATTAAGAAGTAAATGATTTTGTCATTTCTATTTCTTCCCCACGTAAGCCGCATATAGATTCATTAGGAGTATGAATGATCCCTTTTCTCATCAAATTGTCTTTAGTGGTGTAGGTGACGACATGTAAACCTAGTCAAATCTTCGTTTACCACATGATCTGACGATTGAGAAATTTTTTGTTGAGAAATTTTTTGTGTACATTTATATATCATTAGCTCTTTTTGTAATTTCTTATTCTTTCCTTTTTCAGGTTTTGAAAAATGAAGTGCGATTATCTTCACACCTATCATGTACAACGGATTGTCCTACTGCTTGCAGAGTTGTGTTTGTATACCCTGTTCAAAGCCAATTTGTAACTCCTATTGTAAATGGGAGTGGAAACCACATTATAGTGAAGTTAATTGTCTCTCACTAAAGAGTTGCAAGAAACTGTATTTAGAGCTGTCTTTTTTCTAGAATAAAAGAGACCAAATGTCAATATTAATGATTCCGAACTATAAAATGAGAGGAAGTTTCAAATGGAAAGCGAAGAACAAGTCCATGACAAATAAATGACATGAGCGGCAAACGTGGATTTGCCATCAAAAGCATAGCTGGTAATGGTAAGAGGTTGGGTACTATTTCTCTAAATAAATGACATGATAATTATTTTTTGAATGAAATTAAGTATCACAGATAAGTTCTTAATACAAACTTTTTATATTTAAAATATAAGAGGTTGGGTATTATTTTTCTACTATTTTTAATCTAAAAAATAATTATGTTAGACAATAATAAGAATGTTTCTATGCTTACCTAGCTTTCGCATGAGAAAAAAAATGAATTAGTATCATACATGAAAATTTCTTAATCTACCCTTTGGTCAAGCTAATGTCTCCTTTGTTCAACCTTTAAAGCCACACTTTGGCTATACAAGTATTCGAACAGGACTAGTGACTTCACTACTGTTTAAGTATGTTCAAAAATTCTTATTATTATTTTCTATGATGAAAATTAAGAAGAATAAAAGCATAAGGATTATTTTAAAATATGATTTTATTTTTGAGATGAAAAAGGAAAAAATTCCCTTTTCTCTTAAAAGGTGTTTTACGGATGCACAGTAAAAAGTACTCAAGTAAAGTATTTAGGTGTTCAAATGTCCGATACCTATTACAGCTTACAAAAGATTTTTTACAACGCTTCTTAGAATCTTTTCTTTTGTAATTAATAACGATTAAAATTTATATTATTATTTGGTAATTCAGACATTTTTTATTTTTACTAAAACAGATTACATGAAATCTTACATACGCTCTCCTTTTACTAAACTTTAGTAACGTAAAAGCTTACGTTTTTTTTGTATTGAATTCTTCTTAGGATAATAAGATCCCCTTCACTGTCTAAGGGAGTAATCATTTCATCACATCAAACTTCAACTTTTCTTTTTGTAAATTCTTCTTTGTAGCAAAAACAACAATGATTATCATGCTTTAATATATTGCATAACCTATTACAAACTACTTGACTAATTGAGATCAGATTTTCAAAGATTTTTTTTTCCTTTATTTTAAACAAAAATATATTAAAATTTTAAATGCATGCCAACCGAGGGCAAAACTTTCCAACATTACTTTTTACTGTTTAAAATGATAGGACATTTTTTTATGATAACTGTTTATAGTCATTTGTAATTGGGTGACATCTGTTGTGCATTCGAAAATATCCTCCTAACTTTTTCATCGACTTGCAAACTCCCTTGAGTTTTTTTTTTTTAAATGAAAAATTTTAACTATTTAAAAATTATTATTTTTTAGTTTGAAATTA